TAACGTGGTCTAGTGGGAGGTGTCCCTGCCCATGGCAGGGGGGTTGGAACTAGATGATCTTTAAGGTCCCTTCCAACCTAAACCGTTCTATGATTCTATGAAAATCATGAAGCTATGCTTGGCCTGGTGCTTATTACCCCCTGACAGGGCAAAAGCCGGGCACTTGGGGCTGCTTGTAGCACAGGAGTGGGGCACTGGGCAGAGAGGCTCTCGCCAGCAGCGAGGGAGCTGAGGTGAGGAGCGAGTGCCCCGGCAAAGATGCCTTCCTCGGTGCTTTGCCCCTGATCACACCTCATCTCTAAAGCTGCCTCTGAACATGTCGATCAAGCTGCAGGGGTGATTACCGCCACTGGCACTCGCACGATTACCAGGCTCCTTGATCTAAAAATACGGTTAAAATTTTGCTCTCGAGATATATTGTAAAAATGTAAATTTTAAGGGTTTTTTTTTGCAATAGGGAAAGGGTTCCTGGGGAGCTGTAATTCAGCTCTTGCTCCAAGGCGGACAGGCAGCGGCACTCACAGGTGAGCTTAAAGGCAAGGTGGGAGCTCGGCTGTGCCAATGGCAGCGGATTCAGCGGCAGCGCTGGACGGAAGCCAACCACAGGTATTTATCAATCACTGTGCTTTACAGGCAATTTACTTCTCCTTAGATCAGAGGAAACAGAGTGCCCAGGAGGGGAAGAAAATCCAACTTTTGGGAGGTTATCGTCGTTTCATCCCAGAACATCTGCCAGCCCCGGTGTCAGCGCGAGGCAACAAACACATGGCACGGATCCGGGAGTATAAAAGATGTGTCATTGCAAGAAGGAGTAGGAGGAAAATAAAGCAAGTTGACAGCTCACATCCTGTGCCATAATCCTAGAAATTGTTAATATTTACAAAATTAACAACTAATATAACTGATGACAATCTCACTCCTCCTGGTTGTCATGAGGATATTAACAGTTACCACCCGCTCCAAACTGGAAATATTACCCGTCTCCGGAGCTCCTGCTGCTCAGCACGAGCGGGGATGGCACAGACGCACCCTCCCAGCTTTCATACCAGCACCGAGCCATGAGCCAGTGCAGAGCACCCGAGCATCACCGAGGCTGGAAATGCCTCCTGACCTCACCCTGCTCCTTCGGGGGGAGCAGGGGGGTCTGGCAGGGCAGGAGGAAGGTTTCTCCCTCTCCCTGGCTCCTCAGGGAGCCCAGCCCCAGGCACCACAGCGTGGTGGGGAGAACCCAGAGGAGGATGGGGAGGATACAGGGTGTTGGAGGGAGGAGAAGTGAGGGCCGCGCTGGCCTGGATCGTACCTCTGAACAAGCTGCCATTTCAGGAAAAATGCCCATGGTGCTGGTGTGATTTGCCAGCTGCAAGGCTGGCAGCTAATTGATGAACAGATGCTACAGTGTCATTTCCTTAATAGGAAAGACCTGGCTAAAACCAAAAGAAAGATGCTTGTATACCAGTGACTCCATGGGAAACATATTTCCAGACTAAGAATCATAAAAAAGTGAAACTTCAGGATCACAAAATGTTGTACACCTCCATTTTAAATAAGAAAGAGAATAACAGTGGTGCCTGAGTTCTCCGAACTGAGATTTTTTTTTGTTGTGTTTTTTTTTCCACACTCTTACCTGTCCATCAGGAGGACTGCAGCAGGCAATACAGTGTTAACAGACACTTTAAGCACAAGGACACTGTGGATGGGGCCTGCACACATGGGATTTCTGGCTTCATTTTCCCCTATCTTTAGTAAGGAGCATTAATTCCCTAGGCCACTGTTTGCACAGGCACAGAATATTGATCTTATGGTAATTTTAAAAAGTTTACTTTGTCAGGGTGCACTGTATGCAAAAATATGGCCAAACTCTTTCCAGTTCACTGTATGCAAAATCAAAACAGAGAATCACCTGCATTGTTGTTTTCAAAGAGCTCCTGGGTACTGGAAAGCTGTGAAAAACAAATTTCCTTCTCACAGGAATCACTTTCTCCCCTTGAAGTGGCTTGTTGTTGGCTATATGAGAGGTTGGCCCAAAGAGGCAACCTGAATGAATGGAAGGCAAAAAAGTCCTTTTCAAGGCACTCTGAGATCAGGGATCTCATTGTCAACCAGGCCCTTGAAACAATATTGACCAGAAGAGCAAAGAGCTGCCTTTACAGAGCCCTGTGCTCCACCTGCTACAACACAATTGCTCACCTCGGGGTAGCACCCAAGGGCTCCCTGGAAGGGGCCTCAGCTTGATGGATCCTCTGGAGAAATGATCATGGGGACCATCAGAGAGACCATCACGAGCTGCGATGCTCATTAATTGTTTCACTGCAGTAGGACACAGCAGTTCTTTTCCTTGAAGTACAGTGGGAAAGAAATGTGACCCAGTAAAATGAAACAAGTTGTTTTTAAATATTAAAAAAGCAATGACTCTAGAGAACAGATACATAACATCATCAAACTCGCTTTAAAACTGTTGTGTAGTTTGCTCTAAGAAGCTGGTACCTTTTAAAAAACACTAAAACATTAGCATGTTTCATCCCAGATGGTTTGCTTTTCTTCCCCATGTCTTTTATTCTGCCCTGAGCCTCTGAAAAGCACTCCTTTTCCCCCCATTTTGTTTTCTGTTTGTAAAGCTTTATTCATTTCAGTTTTTTGTCGTCTTCTCAGATCACTATCTTATTCTTTCATCTTTCTTTTCAAGAAATTTCTTTTTTCCTCATCTGCCATCATCTTCAGTATACTACTTCTCCCTTTAGGATTTCTTTTATCCTTCTCATCTTTACGCCTTTCACTTACTCTTCCCCAGACCCCTCATTCTTGCTTTTGCTTGTCAAAACTGTTTCTTCCTCCTTCACGGGGGAAGAAGTGGGAAGGTTGGGTGTATTTTTTTGCTACGAACACCCAGGAACGCTCCAATCAATACTTCAAAACCCTGCAGAGGAGAGCTTGCACGAGTCTTTCAACGCTTTCAAAATTTGCAACAGCAGTTAATGAAAGTCTGACTAATGCTTGAAAATCAGCAGCTTATTTTAAAGCCGTGCTGTAGCTTCCCACCAATAACATTATCAGGCCTTTCCCAACAAGCTTTTATTTTTACATTAGAGACTCCATGCTTTGAAACCTTTGTAGCCCCATAGCAACTTCCCTCTTTCTAAACCCCAAGACACAGAGCAGGTGACGGCCGCAGTATCAGACACCACCCTACCGTGTCTAGCTCTGGCCGGATTTCTGTTCAAATGAAAGGAGAGCCATATTGCCACCCTGCTCACAGAACACCCGTGACCAGGTATGCCCAGGGAGATTTCAGAAGAGCAACGAGTCCAGTTTAGCTGGAAGTGAGCATACGTAAAACATCTTCAAGCCTGAAAGTACGGGTCTAGCCATGGATGCAGGCATCTGCCAGGAGAGCAGGGGCTCAGCCCTGTGGCTATTGCCACCCGCGCGGGCTGGGGTACCACTCAGTGCCAGGAAGGATGCTGCGGGAAGGATCTACAGTCTCTTCACCCCTTCCCGATAAACGTGCCCTTGCTATTTAGTTTGTTCTGCAAGGGATTTGTAATAGTACTTTGGGGATCTTCTGCTATTTCACTGACATTTCTTCAGGGCTTTTTGTAGCGTGATTACTATTGTCATTAGGTGCCCTCATGTGTTAATGCCTACACTAGATTTAATTGTGTGCATTCCAGCCGGGGGCCAGTTTCTGCTGTGAATTCTTAACATGCGCCCAACCTAGCACCTCCATGGGCCTGTTTCTGTTGGACTCGTTCCCCTCGGCAGATCACTTAAGAGGTCTGGAAAATCCTCTGCAAAGCTTGCAACAGATAGAATTGACTGTTCCTGACAAGTCTACCATTTTTACTGTTTTCCATCTGCCTAACAAGACTGCCGCATTCTTCTGAAGTACCAAAGACCACTTAAAATGTGTCTAAAGCTTGATGCCAACTTCCTAGCCCTGCTTGCCAATTCAAAAAATCTGTTGCAAAATATATGTCAATACATGTATTCCCAGACTAAGGCAACCGTGTATTACTTAAAGGCTGGGGTAATCCTAAACGCGATAACAGAGTCTTCAGATACAAAATGGCTTTCACAGAACATATCTTTTCTAGCATGAGATATTTAAAACCTTTTCTTCTCTTACTGAACACAAGAGGCCAGTTTTGGCAGTCTGGGCATGTTTCCTGGCTTGCTGTCCGGATGGCAGCCAAAACTCTGCAATGGGTAGCTCTGGTAGGAAATTCATGAAAGTAGAATTCAGGGGCAGGAAGGTCCTGACGTGAGCGATCTAGGTATGGTACAATATCTGTTCTTTCTCCTCAAGTTTCCTGGTTAGCTTTTGCTCTGCTAAGACTAAAATTGGTTGGAAATCACTGCCTGTAGATTTTAGGTTTTTCTTCCCCACTGGTAAGACCTGAAGCTATTTCAGTTGTTAAACAATTTGTTGTTTAATCACTTCACAACTGCGGCTTCTGAGCTTGGTTGTGGTGCCAGCTTTGTACAGATAAATATATAACTTGTGGCATTTTCAAAAGCCATTTGGAACAGCTCTTCAATAGAAGCACTTTCACAGCAGAGATTAAATACATTATTTGGGTTTTCTGCCTAAAAAAAAAAAAATATCACTTAAAAATTGGCAGAAACACCGTTTTCTTCAAATGAGAAAGTTCTCTTTCCCCAAATTGAGTCTGGCAATTGGCAGCTCTTTACAAAGACCTTTTTTTTTCCTTCCTCTCTCCCTTCCCCTACTCCTTCATTTCAAAATAACCTTCAAGGCAAAAAAGCAGGACATAGCAATGCAAAAAAGAAATAGAAACTGATTAAAATTTTTCACTCCCTGAACAGAATGCTTTACATTTTAACTAACTTGTATCAGATAAAATGCTATTGCATTCCAACACGAGAAATTAACACATTGCAGGAAACTGGACGCACACGTTCCTCAAGGAATTTGATATTCAGAAGTCCTAATGAAGAAATTGAAACAAAATACAAATAAAGACCTTTATTAAAATAACTTTGAATATTATATGAAATTTAATATCATATAATATAGGTGTAAACCCCCTGGTATTAACAGGATGTGACACATGTGAAGAGAAGACGTTAATATCCGTATAAATAGAAAAGCTAAAAGGTGTTTAACAGCGATATATTTAATGGCTACACAAATGTGACCATAATTAGTAGAATACGCAATTTTGTGTTCCTTAAGCAGTATCTTCTAAAGCAGTATACATAGTAAATTGCTTTTACCTCTAGTGTCTGCTTTCTTATGAGTAACAGGAGATGCGTAGGAACATTATAGGCACATGCAAAAGAAATGTAAAAGATATAAAAACAAGGCAGAAGCCAGGGACTTATTTGTTCTTGGCTGCCAGAGGCTTACGGCTGATCTTCTTTGACTTGTCATTGTTCTTCTTTGGAGGTTCAGGGTTCGCCTGCATGTGTCTGCCATAAAGACTGTAAAGAAATGAGACAAAGAATATTTGTGATACAACCATTAAACACAGGCTTTTACTCTGCAGCATGTTAAACAATGCATCTAGTTACAAGACATAAAAAAGGAAGGTCATGATATTTATTTTGTCTCAATACACTGAATTTTCTATTAGATCTCATGCTGCAGTCCATAATACTAGGTTTTTTGTGACTTATCAGGAGAGTAACATCGGGAAGAGAAGGCCTTTGGAGCAGTGAAGGAGCAATCAGTTTTGCCTTTAGAAACTCGCAACCTTTATTCTGCTGTTATGGGATTAAGGCTTGGAAGGCTGCAAGGATGTGTATTCAAGTCGACAATGACAAAAATTGGGTTGAACTGGAGAGATAGAGTGCCCACTTAGAGCAAAGTGAGCATCATCCCTAACCAGAAAACCCAAGAGCTTGATAATGTGACAGAGAGCAATGGTGTCAGAGCCGCCTTTGCCGCTTGCACATGATTGATAGTACTGGGACAGCTACCAACACATCAATGCCACATTAGTAAGTACCACTGATTAAATGTTGACAAAGTATCCTACAATTAAGATGGCTAGCATTCACAGCGAAGCTAAATAGACTACATGGCTGAGAGGATCTCGCTAAATATCACATAGTAATTAATAGATAATTTATGAGTAATCCTGATTAAACTAAATTAAAAACCTACCCAAAATAAACACAGCTCAAACTTAACTTCCCTTATTGACATAAAGTGCTTTTTGAAGACGTACTTTGCGGGGGTGTCTGTATCTAGAAGGGAACAGAGAGGAGCTTTGTTTCTACTCATTCAGCTGCATAAACACTGGCAATGATGACAGAAATACTGAGGTCCCTCTGAAAGGCGTCTCCTGCTAATACTTCAGCCCGATGCTGGTGAGTGTCCGCCCCAACCCCATACTGGGCTGCTGCCAGTCAAGTTGGACACCAATTTCTACCACCTGATAGGAATTCTGCTACTGAAGAAGATGACAGCACCAGTTCCCACAAAAGCCTTCCTTGTGTTGCTGCACCTGCTTGGGTCACTGAACCTCCACATTTGGCGTGGTGTCACCAAATGTGTCACGGAACAGGCCAGATCTAGGGACTTGCGGTAGAGTCTTCCTAGAATTACCTTTTGATGTGTCAAAATCTGGATGGGTGGCTGTCAGCACTGTCACCACAGAACCCGGGCCCTGCGTTTTCGCGTGCCTGTGGCAAGCAGAAGGTTCCAGCTGTCACGGGTGAGCCGCACTGATCCATCATACACCCCCTCACATGCGCTCGCCCCTGAGGCAATCCGCGTATGTAGCTTGTGTGTCTGTCCAGCCCTTGCTGCAAACAAGGACCACGCACAGATCCTTCCACTACTTAGTCGTGTTGGGACAGACTGGGACAGACAGTTACTCATGATATGTTGCTGGTTATCCATGACCTGATAGACAGTTCTGCAATGGATATAAGCCTGAGCAGGTATCTCGGAGATAAAGTAACTCTTTACTTTACAGTGACCCCTTTTACTTTGCAGGCTGAAACTAATTTCAGCAAAGGATTGGCCCCTCCTTCTGCTGCAGGGCCTGGTGGACGTGCAGGTAACTCTACGCAAGAGACATTGAGCAAGGATCCAAACAGACAGAAATACTCTTGAATCACCATGCTATAAGGCACGGCTCTAGAGGGGCTACTTACGTCAGACACAGAGAGATTTTAGCAAAGACGTAAGGAAGTCGGGAGGTTGAAAGCTCCCATCTGCTCTGAGCTTTATTTTGCTGCATCTGGAGGATACGTCAACCCTGGGGTTCCTGGACTGCAGAATGGGCTAGAGCTTCTCATGGGGTGGGGTGGAGGGGCAGCGCTCGCTTTCACCTCCTCAGCAGCAGCAGTTTTACATCATGCTGCTAAGCAGGCTGCTGTCAAGGTGCACTATGCCCAAAACCAGCCTTGCTCAAGGAAAGTACAACTGTAAACTAAGACATTACTTCACCTTACCAAAATTTTATGTGTGCCATCACCTACTGTTAACAAGGGATCAGAATCCATTTCCTGATGAATGCAGAACCCTGACCCTCTGTGATAACTGCATGCTGACTATTAGCTATGAAACACATATTTTTCATTTCATAAGAGATACAGCCCCAACAGCAAAAGGGTATATTTTATGCAAGTACACAGTATGCGTACTAATCAAATACCCGTCCTAAATAACCATCCTGTTTTGGAAGGCACTAAGGGAGTTGAAGGAGGGATGATATTGAACGAGATGTTTTGGTATCAGGAAATACTATCATTGTGGAAGAACACAGAACTGTCATTCAAGGAGGTTGTTCCATCAGAAATTAATCCAAGGCAGAAGAAGTCAGGCAACAAGCAGCATCTTGCTCTCCACGATGTGCCGTGTAGCATTTAAACCACTGTCAGCAATAATTTTGTAACTCTGAGAAGTTAGCAACAGAGAAGTGGAAACGCATGCTCAAATCTGTGAACACCAATAGTTAGTTAAATACCAAATTAACATTCAAGTTGTTTTTTGGCTATAGGGAAATAATGCTACATTGGAGTAGAATGTGAGGTTTTTTTCATATAATAAGGAAGTCCCCATTTGGGACTTTAAGCACTGAATTAACAGAGAATCCACTGATCTGCTGTATCTGAGCACAAAAAAACTTCATGGATGAGAAATGAAGTTCCCTGTCACTGTCCTGTCCCTTCCACCTCCTGCTGTCCCACGGCTCCTTTGCCCTGTTAGTGCCAACCCAGAGAGGACTATAACACCTTTAGTGGCTTTCAGGTGTTACATACCCTTTTTTTTGCTCAGGTTGGTTTAGGCTCCACTTTTTTGCTTTGGAAACTTTATATGAATTTTCCTCTCAGATGACACTTGGCATTCCTTGTGCCTCTCATTTCCTGCTTTCTCAGTTCAAGTTTGTGGACTGGTACAGCTTAGATTAGTGAACTTTTTCTGAAGTAAAAGGGTGTGGTGGGAATTCTGCTGCCTACACGGATGCTTTTGAAGTGCAGAAACTGAGTATCGACAATTTTGAATGAACTTGAGAGTTCTGGTGAAGTCTACTTGGGCAATGCCTTTTGAATGTGAAATGAGGTCCAGCAGCCACTCCATGCGTTAAGCAGTAAAAATCCCAATTGACCTGTAAGTGTTTTTGGTAGCAGTTTTTCTTTGATACTTGCTCCTTACGATATTCAGTGCTATTGGTGCTCCAGCACTTCCCTCCGCCCCATGCAAATACTATGTTAGTAGTAGATGCGCACAAGTTGCAGACATCTGCAGCACTTTTACATTCTTTTTACTTATTCTCATGTCCAACCACTTCTATCAGCATGTGCACCGAAACTTCATCCAGGAGAATAATTACTGGGTTTGAAATAAGCAAATCAAATATATCTACTTCGGTTTCTCTGGCAAAATTTCAAGGAAGTTTCAGCTGCACATTTCTATCTCAACTGAAGATAAGTGCTTTACAATCTATCACAGTAGTCTGCTACTCAAAGAGCAAGGATCAGACGTATTTAGATTATATAAGCCTTCGCAGACAGGGACTCTCTCTTGTGTTTGCACACATCAAATACGAGGAGACATATGGTGTCACAACAACATTTAAATACAATAACGACTGTGATAATGCCTCTGGGACAGAATTTGCCTTCTGTTACACTAGGGAAAAGAGAATTCACAATTTTCAATGAACTTCTGGTGCAACAACAGACACCAGTTTTATAGGTCCCAAGGGAAAAAAAAACAGGAAAAAAACAAAAGAAAAAACTAATAGAGCTGATTTGCGCAGAGAAGCAACTATCTGAATTACACAACAACCTATAACCCTTTGGTTGTAATAGATGTGGAGTTCACATATGCAGTCCTTAATGCTTTTGATACGTACTGGAAGGATACAGCCACAGAAACCATAGCTCGCGTGTCACCGTCTGTCAGCCAGACTGTAGGAACTCTGTACATGCTCTTGCTCTGGCATCACTGCGAAGTCAAACGTGTTAGGCAGAGACACGCGCATGCTGTCCTCAGCAGCGGAGGTCAGCTTAAGACATGCACACAGACAGTTATGCAGCTCAGCTGATGGATGGTAACGTAGTAGGAGATGGCACCTTGACATATCCGTTTGTATGACTGGACCCTGAGCCAAGGCAGATGGTCTCCATAAACAGACAAAGGAATATTGAGGCAGATTGTGGCTACTGTTTCAAGGCAGATTTGTGAGATAAGTGCTGATAATACATCCAATACATACATACCACCTTCACACTTGATATTTCGGAACATCACCTGTTCATGGGGCTGGTTTAGCTCAGAACACTACATACAGCTCACAGACCAAAACCTCAGCTGCAGAATAAAATCTGGAGTGCAAATAAATATTCGAGATGTTCGCGGTTTACAGCAACAGTCAGAAGCTAGTTATTACAACCACAGTGCTGACCCTTTGTAGACTTAGCAGCTACAGTATTGCATGCAGTCTCCTCATTATGTTGAAGTGAAAGGGGAGATTAAATGTAAGACTGAAAATGCACAGAGCCCTCAGGCACAGATTTCCAGTTGCTTTCTTTCCTTGTATATATTTTTCAAAGCAAATATCTCTCACGAACATAAATGTTTCTTTGTATGCAAATACAAACACAAGCAAAATCTCCCTGCATTTCCTATCTGCCCCACTGGAAGTAACAAATGAGAGCACTATGGCTGCTGCAGCAAAACTAACAGTATCAAGTGAGAAAGATGCTCATTAAACTTCATCATTCTGTCTACTTTAATGATGCTTTTACTTAATAAAAATTCCCTAAGCAGTTGCAAGGATATTAGGCAAGGTCTTTGGTTATGTATCAGGGGTCTAAGCTGTCACTAGCAAGCATGCAGTTCAGGAGCTGCATTCCCAAGAGGAAAGAGTGAATACAGCTTTCTTGTAATAAATTCAGAGAGAATCAATAACCACAGCCTGCCACATTATTTAAGCATTTGGGAAAGTAGGTGATCCTTCTAA